TTTGATAATGTCAGTTTCAGAGAATTTTTTGTTTGAATCAGAGTGATTCTTTACAAAGTAGGATTTATCCCTCCCCAAGACAAGATACTTAGTATCTACGTTCGCCATTCTTTTTAATGAAACAAAGTAATACCAACTTTTTCAATTTGTCTTTTAGTTTGGAATGGGGAATACTTGTGTAAAGTGTAGAAAAGTCAAATGTTTTAATACTATTGCAAGATGAGAGAGTCTTAGATTGTATGTACTCTAAAAGATCTTTTGAATTTTTAAAATCCACATCTGATTCACGCCACCTCTAGAATAGGCATTTTCACAATAACTTTGGAGCCCTGCTTTGATTGCTGATAAAATAGATGTTAATAACGTAGAAAGAAGTTTCGTGGAGCACTTGGAAGACCCAGCAATTTACCGTTGTTTGTAAGGACACTTATGTAGTTTAGGTATCCAATACAGTGATTGAGGATCCAGTTCTTCATCTTTGGTTGAAATTCCAAAGGAACATAGAACCGTCCTATGATTATCCAGGATTTCCTCTTTGGTAAGTGTCGTGAGGGTATATGTTGAGTTTCCAAGTGAATTGTCAATACCTAATTCATTTATCAAGCAGTCTATGTAATGATATTTACACACAAAAACGATGTTGTTTGGGGCTTTATCTGCGGGGACAACAACATATTTGTCATGGAGGTAGGACAAGTGTTTTGTAACATTTGGGTCTTTAAAAATTAACGTAGCGTGGGTATTGATAGACCCATTTAGTTTCTTAATTCGGATTTGTATCAACGACCTCACAGCCTTAATCCATTCGGAAAGAGTATATACGTCTTTTTTCTCCCGTTTAGCCCATTGCCTGGCATAATCCTCGACTGAATCCATCAGTATTTTGAAGTTGTATTTCCAATTGATGGATTTAGGCTCACGATATTTCGGACCTTTGGATAACAAATTTCGCAGGGAAGTGTTATTGACAATGTTAAGGTCTCCGGTGATAATGTGGCCAGCCGGATTATATGGGAACTAGCATAGGTGCAATCAAGAGGTTTAGACTTGAAGTCGTCAATGTTGAGATCCTGCAAAACGTGTTTGTAATTGAAAATTTTAGTTGCAATTGGTTTGGTATAGGTATAAGAAATTATTGGTACAGATTAATCTTTAAAATAAGGTGGTATTTTCGACTGAACTAATTTATGATGAAGGATATTGCCTAAGTTGACGCCATCGAGACCTTTGTTGGCAAAGGAAAGGTTAAGAAAAGATGTTTTCTCTTTTTTATCTTTTCCAATGCGAACTGGTTTGAAAAGTCTGTGACTTGCAATATCCGAAATGATAGCTATTTGAATTGGTTTAAATGAGGGTTTGTAACAGTGGTTTCCAAACATAAATTAAACAGAGAATGAAGTTTTGAAAGGGGTAATGAATACAGTTTCGTGCGAATATGATGAATGCCTAACGGCTTTTGTATAAATGGCAGCAAGTCATTACAGAAACATCATGCAAAGTAGGTGATGTATATTGACGATGACCATGATTGCGTCTACGTCGAGGAGTAGAGTTGACAATATTCATTACATTCACCGAGCTACAGGAAGGACTAAATAGAATACCTATACCATCAATTTTGTCGTTGCAACCATATGGTGTCGCAGTTCCCAATTGTCGAATCCAGTAGTCCTCTTTTTGTTTACGGAGAGGCGTTGCAAGTTGAGGATTGTTAGTCTTATGGTATATTTTTTCGATTATACGAACTGTCATAGAAACGATGGAATGATCAGGCTGATTAAAATGCTGGTACAGAATGTCGTTTGCATTGAGGTTGATATCTGATCTATGGCCGCACATACGTTTGTTTAGCCTTCCTTTCGTTTCACCGACGTAAACCAATCCACAAAATTACACTCTAATCCGTACACGACATTTATAGATGTACAATTCAGATCATCGTAACTTCTAGTAAAGTAAGACTTTTTAGTTAAATTGCTAGTGAATTGAGCGTCTGTTATTAAAATTTCCCAAGTTTTGCAGCAATTAGTTCCGCATTTCGAAATGAGACAGTGTTGTTCAGAGTCATCGAAATCCAAAATGTCTTTAAGGAGAACTGAACATGGCTGTGTATGTGTACTATTGCTATTGTCACTAGTATGATGATCTGAATGAGTCATGTTTGTGATATTTGTCATGTCTGGTGATGAGGGGACACCCGCCTTATCAGACGACACCGTGTCCATGGTGACGTCTGTTTCGGACCTTTTTATACTGGGCGACGTCCGAGCCAGTATCCTGTTAGATCTTCGTAAATTCATGCAATTTTGCTACTGGGCGGATGATGTCCTCGGGGACAAAATGTCCACCAGCAGAGACATCAACCCAGTGGTTATAAAAGAGGGACGAAAGATACCAGAGGAACAGTCAAACTCATAAATCGAAAACAAACTGACAACGTAAGTTATCACGGCAAAGAATGAGATATCGGATATACCAAACAACATATATGATAGATAACAAAAACAATTTGACAGACACATTTGCATTATTAGCCAAAATCTTCTGTTTTTATTACATTAAACAACACATTTTCACGAGGCGTTTACCTAAACTAACCAATCTGATTTTTATACATGTATACATATGTAAAAGGATTTTATTATGATAATTGGTAATAATTCATGAACGTGTCTTGATAGTATAGTGAGATGACTAAATCAAACCAAATAAAACAACTAGGGGTCAACATTTGTTTTTTTTACTAGACATAATATGTCGAGCTCTAAATTGTCGTTAGAATAGGAATAATTGTGAAGCCTTCTATCAACACCTAATTCCTTAATGAACGAAAAACATAAACATATATATAAACTTTGGGACAAGAACACTGACATATGGCGGGATATAATACGTTCTTTTAGCATTCAACCAACCTCTTTTTATTTCGATCAGTAAAATTGCAAATGGTTAACAAAAATAGTTCCAAAAAGCACATTTACTTAACATCGGTACCATGGCAATAACGGTACCAGTTTTACAGACCAGATGCAAATTTCGACAAATATATCTCTTTATAGATGCTACAGGCCAAAACATTTGAAAGTCTGATATTTATACAATTGTTGAAGAGATGATGAAACCAGGTACGATGGAAAAGTAAAATCAAACCAGAGCAAAGAATCACAAATATTCATGAACGAGATACATTCCTTAATTTAAAATAATTTTGAAATTTTAAAACTGCAAAGTGAATAAAAACAACATCCGTATTTTCATGCCATAACAAAAGTACTTGCTACTTGGCTAGACACTAAACATTATTTGATAATAATCTGGCAATTTTCGAGTCTCGTAAACGAATCTAGCTTTTGTACAACGGATTGTGTATTGAAGATTACCTCGTACATAGAACCCTTACTAACACTAACGGTATAAACGTTATTGCACAAGATGCGCATTTCGACATTTAATACCTCTACAGGAATGCCAAAAGGTCAAAGTATTTGATAGTCCACAAACTGGTGAGGAATAAATGACTTAACAGCTCTTCTTGGCCTAATTTAAAAAATGGGGCCAGTGTTTGAAATATATCTGTTCTGGCCATGGGGAGACTGGTAACAATGTCCTATTACACCGCTACAAGATCAAACTGTTTCTGTCATTTGCATCCTACTAGAACTGTAATTAGACTATTTACCGGATTTGTAATAACATTAGCAACACGACGGGTGCCACATGTGGAGCAGGATCTGCTTACCCTTCCGGAGCACCTGAGATCACCCCCAGTTTTTGGTGGGGTTCGTGTTGCTTAGTCTTTGGTTTTCTATGTTGTGTCATCTGTACTATTATTTTTTCTGTTTGTCTTTTTATTTTTGGCCATGGCGTTGTCAGTGTGTTTTCGATCTATGAGTTTGACTGTCCCTCTGGTATCTTTCGTCCCTCTTTTAAAAAAATGCAGATAAGTAAAATAAATTTTAGATTCCAATCAAAAATGTTAATATGGAATTCCCTGGACTATGCTGATAGGGTATTTTTCTCTAGCGCTGAAAAATCATTATTTATACCCTTTTGAGGTAACTTCAAGTATAGCACTTATGGAAATCCATTTACAAAATATGTTTGCAAATAGAAAGCAGATAACAAAGGGGATATAATGAAATACATAAAACAAAATAAACCAACACCATGGTCAAGAAAAAAAGATGAAAAACCCACAACCAATTCCACAAAATAAAACTATGAACCTTTCCCGGCTGTGAAATCTTTCATTCGATAAATGACCAATTTCTATTAGTTTACTACTTTACCAAAAGAATAAAACAGTTGTGAAATAAAGAATTTCATAATTGGAATTTCTACGCTTGGTTGAGTTCGATGTCGTAATCAAAGAAAGGAGAATGAAGTTGAGGCTTCGACATGTAGGGCATATCGTTAGTCTCTTGGCCATCTGTGACATATATTTTTATTATGACCAACTTTATCATAATGTTGTTTGTAAAACCTGAAGAGATGACTCCAACTTAATGATGGATGTATAGTCACTCAATAAGATTTTTGGTTTTTCTGTAAGCAAATATAGTATTTTTCAAATAATTCTATAGTAAACACAGTCGTTCTTTCGGTCCATAAAATTGCTCTAAATAGACCCCATGTATATATACATAAAAAAGATTTTAGTAACAATTGCACATATAAGCCGAAAACACTGTTAAGCCAAAGTGCATTTGACTTGCGGTTTCTGACAACAGCTGCGGACAGTTGCATATATTCTTTGGTTGGCTCTATAATACCATTTTAAAGAATTTTCTCAGTAATAAAACAAGCGTGAAGTTTGTCATACTGGGTGTGTAAATAAAATTGAGAATGGAAATGGGGAATATGCCAAAGAGACAACAACCCGACCAAAGAGCACACAACAGCCGAAAGCTAAGCATTGCGGCACGTTAATTTCTATGACACAATGCCAACTTCAATAGCGTTGAGAAAAAAATCGTATGAACTGAAAATAGCAATCTTACCATCTGGTTTAACTTTATGGATATAACTTGGACATTGTTGAACGCTTGTGGTTCCATATTCTACTGGCGGCCAACACATAATACCGTCCCATACTTGGCCACACTGCCTTGCTGCAATATAAAATAGTTTTGGTGCAGGTATTGTTAGCAAAGCGTGGTATAAAGTGAACACTACCACACAACATTTAATTTTTTTTTACTGGAATTTTAAATATTTCTAAGGCTAATATAATGCATTTAAACTAAACATAATAGAATAATGTTGTGAATAATATTTTTATTCCTGTACACTCATTTTTTTTATACTTACAGTTTTTATCATTTTGATTTTTAATATCTGTAAAACATCGCTTCAGTTCTTGTTCGACCAAGGCATTTTGTTGATGTTTTGACAAAATTTGAGCCTGAAAATACATATATTACATGAATTAACAAAAGACAAAACAGTCAGTCATTAAATTTTTCTAAAATAAAGTAATATAGTAGTATTTATTGTTCCTGTGTAGAAATGTAACATTTTAGACATACGCATGGGACATGATTGTTATTTTGTCCTAATAAATAGCAAACACAGATAGAGAAAACGTGAATGAGGTACGATCCAATTTTCAAAAAGACAGAAACCAACTCTTACCCAGGAGCAATAATACCAAATTCTAGAGCTGACAAAGATAGCCTATTGTTAGATTATAAGGTTAAAAGGAATTTAATAAAGATAACGGGTGCCATCTACTTTTGATTCAAAAGAAAAGCTACAATGGCTGTCCTATTAATTATAAAATAAAAAAAATAGTGATACTAGTACATAAATGTCGGCTTTTTGTGCGTGAAAATAGCGAGAAATTTGGAGGTAACTCTTGGTAATGAGAAAAAATTAAGCAAGTGAAACCTTCAAAATGCCATTTTTCTTTAATAAAATCTGTGACACTAAAATTCAGAATTAGACATTTTTTCAACGTATTTTTCTTGGTGAAAACACAGAACTCAAAAATAGCTACTATTGTTGCATATGCAAATAAACCATAAAACCTCCTCAAGGATAAACCTTTGAAGAAAAATTAAATAAAATCAACCAGCGTTTAGACAAACGGTAAATTTCTCCGCTCATATGATCATTACAGAAATCTTTTACATTTGGTTCTGTATATTTGCGTGCGATAATATAACCGTATGACATCTATAAAAATCGTTGCAGTTTGATGTTAGTCGGTTCTTAAGGATTTCCGTAATGATTAAAGTTTTTCTGACAGATAAGAATCTTGAATATTGGTCATTTGCAAGTCACTTCCTGTTTAAGTTATTTAATCACGTTTTGTTATGTTACTTAAGAATTTTTTTAAATATCTAATCAATATAAGATTTTGTAATCATTTATGAAGTTCAACACTTGAAGATATATAACACCATGATATGTATATACAAGTAACAGAATTTAAGCTAAAACAACAAAGCAAAAACAGTAGTGACCGAGTGCTTTGCTATTCACCTTGTTGACCTTAACAAACATGTTTGTCATATGTGTGTTTAACAGTTCATGTTTATTTTTTTTTTTTTTTGCGTGAAGCAATCAAAAACAAAATTAGACGCAGAATTCACAATCCGGTCGAAAACGGGATCTATATTCAATTTTTGTAGTGTGGTTAATCATAATGGTTTGATAACAATTATTTTCATTTCTATAACTATCCATTATTTCACAGGCTATGTAAGCCATGGAACCTAATCTATTGTAGAGATTAATGGGTTACTGTATGAAGAGATTTAAATCAACATTTCCTTTGTTCTAAGCGTATAATTTATATTAAATGTCAGTTAATTTTTCTTCATTCATGTTGAAAAATTAATACTCGATTAAACTGACATGAAAATGAAAAACATCCATCTATTCCACTACATTAAATGAAATACATTACGTAAAGTGTCAATATAACTAGCAAGCTAATTAAGGGTAATTGTTAAAAGCGTTAAAGACAATATACTATAGTTCACTGAAGCGTTTAAACATTGTATATTTTAATTCAACTCTCAAGATTATAGGACCATAAATGATGCTTTTCGGCATTTAAATTGTAATGGCATTCCAGCTGTTTTGTGTAAATGAAACATGAGTCTGGCTTACCATTTTTCAAATTTTGTTTTTTTTTATTTAATCATTATTATTATTGCTGGTGTTTTTGTAATCTAAATTGTCTCATCTGCTGTAATATACATGTATAATTATCAAATTGGCAACAAACGTTATGACTGAGGTCAAGGTCTAACTAAAACTACCAGAAGCAGATATTTAAGAACATGAAACATTAGCAACCCTCATACCAAATATTGTTAACTTAACGTTCAATTACTGAAAAAAAACTGTCTTTATATTGAAAAATTCACCCGGTTAATGAAGAGTGAACTGAGGCCAAAATGACAATACTTGCTGAAAAGATCTCATAATAAACAATTTGTCAACACCGTCGTTCCTATTTTAACATTCGATATACGTGTAAACTGAAAATGGATCCAAGAAAAAATGAGTCTAGGTTTTCAACTAACAAACAGATCAAAGGAAAAAGATATTCGAATCTTTGTTTTTACTGACAGAAGGAATAAACATAACAAAGAAAATACGAATTAGTTCAAAGTCAAAAATACAATTTGCTTATTTGCATATAACTTATTGAATCAATACCATAAAATAAAATTTAGAATAGCAAGACGTCTCACGATTTGTGTTTTGATAAAAATCTCTTTAAAAGAAATTCCATTAAACTCTGGCGTTGAAAGCTAATCAAATGTACAAGACATTTCTAAATTAAATTATGTTTTGAATTAATATATCTTAAACAATCACTAATTTTCTGTACAAATGGATTATATCATGTCTTCAATATTGTTCATTTCATTTCGATTTACATTTTACTTATAGCATGAAGTTACCAGAAGTAGATTGATAATAAAATCATTGTGTAAGCAAGACAGATTTAGAACCATAAATCATATCCAATTATTCCCTTTTATCATGTGATGGACTGAACAAAGGAATGTATTAAAATAACTATAACTGATTAAAACTGCTTGTATAGTCGATTTTTGCTATTCTTTGTCAATAATGTCTTAGAATTGCCATGTCAATTTCGCTTAGTGTGTGCTTTGGGACTATCGTTTAATTTATTATTTTTCTTCACGCAACACATCCATTCAATTATTATTTGTTCATAGAATATAAAAGAGAGGCTTGAGATACCAAAATGATATACTCATAAGTCGATGACAAACTAACAACGCCATTGCAAAAAAACGTAAAACAACCAAAAAACAAACAGTATACAAAGTCAACATAGAAACCTAAAGACTGCGAAACACGAACCCCAACAAAAGTCATGGGCAATCTCAGGTGCTCAAGAAGAGTAAGCAGATACTAGTCCACATATGGCACCCGTCGTGTTCCTCATGTAAGTACAACTCGTTGATAAGTTTAATTCCGTGCTGTCACATTCGAGAACAAGTTTAATTCCGTGCTGTCACATTCGAGAACAAGTTTAATTCAGTGCTGTCACATTTGAGAAAAGATGACCGGTTTGTGGTTACAAAAATAGGAACATATCCGTCTTCATCTGTGAAACAGAAATTCCTTACTGTGAACCAACGCATTTTTGCGTCAATTAAATTTGAGAACTCCACCACTGCAATATACTTTGCAGAAAATTTTACCAAATACTTTTAAATTAATAGAAATAAATATTTTATATTCGGACGGTAGTTACAAATTCTGGTTTGTAAACTTTTATCGTAGTCTACAGAAACAGACACAGGCTAAATGACCATTTTTTGTCACGTGAACAATTATTTTCATGTTCTTTACTTGATATAGAATTATTTCTAATCGTTTTGCGCAAAACAGTGCAAGCTTTCATTTTTTTTTCTTTTTGGAATATTACCTTTCAATTCGGACGCCATAAATTTATTAGGTATAATAAATGATGTTTTTCCTGATAATGGCAGATTGTTGGTAATTTCTGTTTAATTGATAGATTGTGATTTTGAGCTTGGCATATTGTTTAGACGCTTATCCATTGGTTAAGACTGTATGCTAACATGCAGGATCCTTCTAGTAATTTTCGTCTTTTGTTGTGGTCACACATAAGTAAATCCCACCCATCCAATTGTATTTCTATTAAATTTATTATTTTCGATATTATTCATAATCGCTTATAAATCAACAATTGTATTTGCAATGAAATGCAATTTATTCAAACTTGTCATTGTTTGAGTTACCTTGATCAGCAATATACTACAGCTTTGCGACAGTCAAACTTGAAAAACAGAATGGGAAACTGACACATGATGGAAATGAATTCAAAATTAACACTAACGATCATTACAAATCTATCATTTCAGACTGTTATAAATTGATGATTTTAAATATTCTTGAAAGATAGTCTTAAAAAAAATACAACATACCTACACACTTATAAATGGTACTGTTGTGTTGTCTTTGTTTTTGGGATAAAACTTGTTTGTGTATATAAACCAAACGAAGACATACATATAGACAGACAGTTGCATGTAAAGAGGATATTTTGTAACTCTGACCTAATCTATTTAACTTTAATAAATGTACAAGAATTTCATCTGTGCTGTTGAAAAGTAGCATCATGTGTACAGGTACAGTGTAGTCATTCATTTCATAACAAATTTTTTCATGTCTAATTAGTTTATATCAAAGAACAAAGAACAGAAGTATTATAGAAAAGAAAAGTCAATGACCCAAATTGTCTGATAATTAGCTGCTGACAACATATATCACAAAAAAATTGTTTTCTTAATAAAAAAAATCAGGAAAATAGTAGTTTGATTTTGTTATTGTAATACTTTTTTATCCGCATGATGTATTATATGAATAAACTTGATTAAATAAATATGAATATCAGTTCGTCTGTGAGCCAAATGCATGTTAAGATATTAAGTTGAGTTTATGGTTATAGTATTTTGTTATAAGAATTCTATTAAATCTTTATTTGTTTGTATTTGTAATTGTTCTGAAAGTGTTAAAGTAAAAAATAGGATAAAATAAAAAAAAAAAAAAGACTACACTTACTTTTTGCTCATGACAAATCTTGCTTATTGCTGTTCCCATAAATTCCAAAAACAAAACCAGCATTAATGAGAATGTCAACATGGTCAGTTCTTTGTTATCACTTTTTAATAATTTGAATATTCATTACAGTTTAATCAAATGTAAAATATAGTCCTTTCCTGGAATGACGACATTCTTTCTCTGTGCTGTGTCATGCAGTCCATTTACATTCTGAAATTTAGAATAATTGACAGATTATTTAGATGACGGAGAAATCTTGCATATGAATATCGTTAACCAATTGGCTTCGTTTGCATAAAGCGTTTGCCACTATTTAATAGTTTTATCGATACTAGTACTCACCGTCTTCCTAATGATATTATGTATTACTTAGTTTCTATATTCACAATTGAATTTTACCACTAAGTTTTTATTTAATAAGTCTGAAACAGATATTAAGTTACATGGAAGGTTCGATAACCAATTATTAAAATGAAGAAAACACCCTACTTTTAAAGAGTCATTTAGTGCGGTAAATAAAAGCATTATATGATATTCTGATACTCAAGAAGTTGTACTGACTTCGTTCTTACGTAGATGAGGAAACAAATACACAGTGCAAAAGATCTTGAAAACATCACTTAAATGTGTAAATCCTATGTCATATCATAGAAACATGGAAGAAATGAGCATTAATTGTAAATATTGGGCTCTAGTAAAAAACGGTTTATTGGCGTATTAGGAAATATTCAGCAGTTTACAAATAATACCTTTTTGTTAAATATGTAAAAGAAGGAATGCATGTATTTTTGAAATAAAAAGCTTTAAATATACGGATTGCAAAAACAATACGCTGTGCATTCAATTGTGTTTCCCTTCTTCGTTGAAACCAAAGAGAACTATATTTAGCCAGTACTTAAAGTTACCAATTTATAGCCATTCACACATGATATTAACATGAAATATTTTTAAATTGGTTCTTCTACACAACTTGTAACAATGATGTTGTACAGGCTACATTAAGATGCTTACTGTTACTCGTTTAGCTTGATTCTTAACCTCTGTAACAAACTTACAATTATAAGCATGTTTACCTATGCAGAAGGTAAGCTATCAATTTTTTTTTGATTTTCGTTATTTTCCTTTTATTTCTTGGTATCAAAATTCTTTTTATTTGTACAAACAAAAAAATATGGTTAAGATCTTGAAAAAAATCGTTTCTGAGAGTATTTATTTTAAATGAAATGTATGCCTGTTGATTTAAAGTGAACTGAATCATTTAACAAAATATAATGAAATATTAACTTACAAAAAACACTAAGTAATTTAAATTTCGGATCAATATTTCTTTTGTCAAAAGTTTGCTTAAACACAAAATAACAAAGTTAGCAATAATTTGTACTTACGAGTTCACAAACATTTTTTAAAATAAATTTATTTATATGTCAGTGAAAATTTCTTTCAACACACAAAAAACAAATATTTGATCGGCGTTTTCTTTTATGATTTCGATTTTGATTATTCGATTAATTTACGTCACGTATATATAGTGTTACATTTATGCAAACCATTGACACATTCTGAACGACATTGTCTATGAAGGATTTCTTTTATATTTCACTTTTAAGTTCATGCTTAAGTACAACGTAACTTTTGTCTATAAGGAAAACACCTGGAAATCCCTAGTGTTAAGACGATTATATCGAAACTTGCATTTTAGCCTTTTAAGTAGAAAATTTAAAACTTAAGACAATTTTCGAAATATCAAAGGCTGATGAACAACTCCTTTGAAAATTTCGTATTTAATCAAATACGTCTACATTAGTTCACGTGTTAAAAACCCCAATCTTTCTTGATCTTGAATGTAGAATATTTAAATGTTTAAATATAAAAATAAGGAAATGATTGCCAATAAGACAACTATCAACTATTGCCAAATACCAAACAAAAATCTTGTTATCAACTATAGGTAACCGTACGGCCTTCTTGAAGTGACCGTTAAATGTATTAAATGTCAATTTCAGTCGTTCTGCCTCGTAACTCTATGCAGGTTTATTTGTCAGGAGCACACCACTAATAACAAAGACTTAAAGTGTGAACATGCATGAGCGTACCGTATTTATTGAGAATCCTACATGTAAACGTATAAATATGTATGATTAAAACAAAACTCTGTATTTAGGAAATCAGCTCGCCTGCACAGTATAGTAAATCACTTTATTCAATAAGCTACACATATATAATTTACTACTATTCATGAACGTCCCCGGCCGCTGTGTCGTCAGTAAGAACAAAAAATGCATACATTGTAATCCAATCTATAAAAGAAAAACTTTCTACACTCAACCAATTTAAAAATGCATAATTTTCAATTCTAAATTTCAAACAGTTTAAGAGGTTTAACATGTATGAAAATATTAAATCGACTTGATTATCTCCTCTGATTAACCATACGTTTCAGAAACACCAACCTGGATTGTCCGAAAGGCTAGCATCGAATAAAACAATAGAGAACAGTGTCTTATCGTTACAGTCCTTCCCACATAATTTGGTTCATTAGTTGCTCACTCATTGTAGATCTTATTCGCATGCTAGATATCCAAACAAATGTCCCAGAACAAATATACGTGTTCATTATTTATAACATTAAGAGATACATTTATTGTCTTATTCGTCTACTCAGGCGAATTTAAAAAATTTATAAATAAAAACCAAACACTACATATGGGACATTAGCTCCATTGGACAGTACAGAACTGCATCGTCAAGCAAAACCATACCCGTTTTAATGATATAAAATTATCATATGGTCGCCGATTCTTTTTTTTTTTTTGGTGTATTAACCAACTGTAATATAGTTGGTTGCGAAAACGTCAATTTCGGCGTTTTACGGCCCACCACGCGTCGACGTTACGCTTATTGGTTGATACCATTTGATTTGTCAGTTTTTATGGACTTCCTTCTTGAATTAACCTTGGAGTTTAGTATTTTTGTAATACTTTTTTATTTCGACGTTTTGTGGTATTTCTAACCTAGAACACCATGTATACCGTAAAAACGAAGTCGGTGACACTTTCGTTATTTTACATCATTAAAACGATGTTTTAAGAAAAATCTATGGGTTTGAAATTGGAGATTTGATGATGTTAAGACAAATTTATGAACATTGTTTGCCGATTGTATGTGTTTTCTATACAAATGTTCACTTAGTGTCAAAGATATCAATCAGTATTATTTCAGAAAATAAAAGTAAATAATGCATTATTATTTCGATATTGAGTTATAGTTTAACGGGCCAAAGTTGTATTCAAAATTTCACGAAAATCTGTGTGACATTTACTGTTCCTTGACCTTAACAAATTTTGAAATTTCAATACATTTTCATGACAAAACAAAACCATCAACAAGGTACAAAAACTACATTTACATCGTTTTCACGCCAGTAGTTCTATAGGTCTCAGACATTTTATAAATATGTATAAAACCGTACATATACCAAATACCAAAAAAGTAAAACAATACAGCTGATTCCTAGAAAAATTTTGACAACCGACTAATATCCAAAGCTTATTTCAAAATTATGCATGTACTTATCCTTCTGAAAATGCTTACAGCTATATTTCTATCTGCAATTGCTATTGGACTTTTAATTGATTTATTTGAATGATGGATCAAGAATAAGTCGTTTTAGCCAGATATATGTATCGCCACGTATAAAGGATTGATAGCATAAGATTGAAATGGTACTCCAAATACACACCCGGAGGAAACTAACTCTGAAACAGTATAAGTGACAAATGATTCATACCGGAAGGATGATTTGTTTTTCTTAACAATATTCTAATTAGTAGGTCAATAAATTTAACTACGTAAGCGTTATTGATAGTGTCAAACGCCTATATATTCCAAAAAGAGTACATGCTTCGCTTACCTTCTTGCCACAACAGTAAACCTGTTATTATGACTAACAAAATCTCTTCAAAGATATGAATTTGTGCCAAGAAAAAGTAATTCATACTGTGAACCACTTTCCCATTGATAACAACTAAAATCATTCAGAGTACAATTATACTTATTTACATTTCTCAATGTATGTGGTTAGCGGCTCTTGATGATACGAAACCAACGGATCCTAAATTGAGATGGGGCAATTTTTTCTCTAAACATCGAACTGCTCAGGAAGAGCAATGTGTCTTACGCCGTGCAATGCTGTAACGAAAGGTGTTGATTATAAGGTGAATAAGCATATGCCTTGGTCGGCGCAAAAATTGGGTTTACTGGGATGCAGAGCGGGATGGCCTTTTGAATTTTTTTTATGTTGTGCATGGTTCAGCTCTCCGTCTGCCAAATTTTCTTCACGTCCTCGCTGTCGGAAGCTATGTTGTTAAACTCATATTCCCGGAAATTTGAATATTTTGCCCAAGAAGACTCTGAGATCCTCATTAGCTTGTTATGGTCTGTTTAACTTTTCTAACAAGTTACACTTTTTGCCTCTGTTGACGGTATCAACTTGAAGAGTTTGTTGAATTAATTTACAGTTTCTTCGTTGAACTGAAACTGATTGTATGTGTTAAAACATGTTAGAAACTTAATCTTTTACACATGGCTTGTTGCTCTCGTACCAACTTGAATTCAATTAGTTTCTAGGAGGTGAGTCGACTACAAAAGTAGACTCTGTTTTGTATAATCGACAATATTGAAGCAGAAATACCAGACTAGAGTGTCCGAAAAGCTAGCGTCTATTAACAGATAAGAAAACCTTAATTTAACGTTAAAGTTCTTGTGACCTAGCTTTGCTCGTGGATAAGTCACTAGCTGAGTTCACCTAAGTCACATGATAAATGTCAAAACAAATGTCCCAATAATAAATTTACGCTTGCATTCCCAGCAAACACAAAAACATCTTTAAAATGTTTTTAAAATGTTGTGTCTAATGTCATGAAAATATCACAAAAAAACGTGAGAAAAACATTAAATGTATGGTAGAATATATATCGCTAAAACGTTTTCTAATATATTTTCTAAAATATTTGCATAATATAATTAAAATGTTGTAAAGAAATATCATGATAATGTGAAAAACAATGGCGTATAAAACATTTTGATAATCTTTTAAAAAATATTTTCTAGAAATATTTTCTGAACGTTTGAAAAATATCATGAACATCAAATAATGTTATAAAAATGTTTTTTGGATGTTTTCTTGCAAGTGAGACTGTTAAGAAGATGTT